TGTAGTGGACTTCTCCCCTACAACTGCATTATCCGCGCTCAATGCGACACCAGATGGTACGGTAACCTAGCAACGAAACTAGAGACCGGTTACTTCTCAGGTTTTCCCAACATGACTCATAGAGGACTCACTGCTGCTGGGTATATAAGCTCTGTCTCTCCATTGAGATTCATTCTCTCCTCACTTCTACAACACGCAACACCTCCTCCTCTGCCGCTGCCTGGCGGCCCTCGCTTCTCCTCGCCTGCCTGGCGGTCCTCGCTCCCGCCAGCGAGCATGGCGACCCACCAGCTGTCCTTCTCTGAGCTTCCTCACCAACCAGCTTTCTCATTCTGGTCTCTCTTCTTGAACAAGCAACACCTCCTCCAGCAAGCTCCACGCTGTCAGCATTCATTCATCCAGGAGGCCAGCAACAGGCAACATATTCTCTAACGAAGCTCCTGCACATCTATCTCCTTCAACACGCTACTCACCGAACGTCTCTACTGAGCAGCTCCTCACCACACGGCACCTCCAGCACCAGACTGTCTATCATGTAACTTATATTATACAAGAAAACCACCTTAGAGTTTCCATCCATCCTGAGTGCTAGACAACATTATACCACGAATTTCTACAAATGGTGACTCCCGGAGATTAGCACTCACACAGGATGGAGGAGACACTGACCACGCTCCCAGTCTTCAAGCAGCATGGAAGAATGGCTTATCCACACAGAAGCAGCTCTGTTACTCTAAGCAGACACCAGCTCCTCTTCCTGCCCCAAGCACCACATCCTGACGACCCCAGCACACCCGTCCTGCCTCAGACGCCGACCCCGGCCCAGCAGTAACCCCTGCCGTGAGGGAAGCACAACATTCATCGCCTCCACACCCTCTTTTCTCCCTCAGGTACTCCCTGCTAATGTCCTGCACCCTGCTGGTGTCATGGACCCAGCTGCTGTCACGAGCCCTAATCCGCTTCTGCTGACGCAGCCCCTGCTCCTGACCCAGGCCCACACACTCCAGCAGGCGCATCTGACGACCCTGTACCTGTCATGAGGGAAGCACAACATTCATCGCCTCCACACCCTCTTTTCTCCCTCAGGCTCCTTGTCCATTGTGTACTTGATGAGTTAAGCGTAATGTTTGGTGTGATGGTGTTGCAGACTGTGCTGGTACAGGTGTGGTACCCCATGTCTGTGGCCACAAACTCCAGGATCTACAAGCAGGTCCTCCACCACTACCTCAGCCTCACCCATGACAACCTCCTCACTCTTGACTACTCAGTAAGTTCTCGTTACTGTCTTTCTTCCTCCGGGAAATTCAAATCATTGTCTTGTTTCTCAAAAAAGTTTTTATTTTCAAATACAATACTGTACTGTATCTGGTATACAGTATTTCGGCAAGTTTGTTAGAATCCTTTTCATCAGCTTCCTTGATCTGGCTGCCACAACTATCCCTCTACTAATATTCTCTTCAGTTGTTGTAAACTGTTAATGTACTGTATTACAAATCGTCTCTTAACAGGTCCTGTCTAAGTGCTCCCTTAAATGGAGAAAAATATCATAAGAAACTTTATATTTTCATTATTTCATATAAATAACAAATTGAATCTTGGAGTTTAAATTTTGCTTCAATTGTAGATGTTGCTCTTCAGAACTATGGTTCTTTTCTTCGTGGATCTTGTTATCCTTGCCTCTGACTCATTTGTCTGGAGTTCTGTACCTGCAGTTTTCACCATATCTATGTACAGTATACGAGTAATATACACACAGTGGCAATTTCTCACATATGTCTGGCCTTACCCATGCTCATTTATGAAATTTTGTCCCATTTCTAATGTGCAAATCCCAACAAAACCAATGATTAATGTATTACCGTGTGAACACAGCTGCATGACTGTGGATATCGCGGTGTATCCTCTGTGGAAACTGCTGCCATAGGTGGTGCTGCCAACATGATCAACTTCAAGGTTAGTTGTCTCTCCAACCACATCAAGAATATGGTGTTTGCACTTATACAATATTTTATGGCATTTTTCAAGATGGAAATAATGAGCTTTGTGTTTGCTTAGTAAAATGTACATCTGTTGTTGAGAGGAAGTGTGCTTATGATGCAGGCTTCGGATACAGTGGCTGGGACGTGCCTGCTACGCAAGTATTACCACGAAAAGACAGTTGGGGCTCACTCTGGACCCTTCTCTGAGCACTCAACTGTCACTTCCTGGGGCAGACACAGGGAAGCCGATGCTCACAAACACATGCTCGACACTTTTAAAGGAAGTAAGGCTTCTTGCTCTTTGGCTTAATCTTTCTAGCTTCTCATTCTTCGTAGTCCTAATGTAAGGGTCTGTTTTTTCCTTACCTCATATTTATTCTATTTATTCTTCTTTTCTTTACTTATATACTTGCTTCATATATATTATTGTATTTTCTGAATTTTATGTCCTTACTTTATCTCAATTATATTCTGCTTTAGTTATATACTATACCATGGATCAGTCTGGGAAAACCATGTCATTCTTACTATAACACTTATTGTACTTACCACGGTAGCCTGCCACCACCCAGACTTTTCTTTGGATATAAAATATCTCATTGAACTGTTAGATATGCTAGCGAGCTTCTAGGCACGTGAGTTACAATAGTTATTTTCTGAGAACCAATGGGTGTCATGATCGTAATGACGGCTAGCCTGAAAACCCTAAGAATTCATATTACGCTTAAACGTCCACAAAACCTTCTGAGTCCCCCAGTGGAAACGTCCTCCGTTTTCTCTGTTTCTTTGATGACTTCATTGAGATGTCGTCAATGTCTTGACAGAGTTTGTAAACTCCTTCTGCTACCGACCCCTGTAAACCCTTTTTCACCTACTGGGATTACCATCCACGTCCTTTTGTGATCAATTTAATTCTTGCCTTTGATAGGTCCGTCAGAGCATTGTTTGTGAAGAGAATATTAGCGAATGAAACTGAGGTTGTAGTCTCAGTTTCAAACGTCAGAGTGTACAGTAACGTAATACAGTGAAATAGTTAAGGAGGTGGGATCCGTGACCTAGCGTGGAGTGAGAGTGCGGGGGCATTTCAACGGTCAGTAAGTGCCTCGTTCCTCACCCACACAGGTCCCTATCGCAAGTCTAGGCCGTGTTTTTGGCGTGGATGTTGCATCTACTAGTCTGGGGAGATGTCTGAGGTCCAGTAGGATCGGTTATCTCCGTGAATCCCGACCGTCAGAAGCTCCACTACCACTTATGGGCCCCATAGCTAGCCAGTCTGACCCTACGCTCGGCCCACGAGGTGACCCCCGGGATCACCAAGCCACAAACATCTACCAGCCCCCATCATTGGTGGATGAGTGCCTAGCTCAGTAGGGCTATTTGTGTGGTTGTGTTATTACACCAGAATCTTCAGAGTTCGTTGGAAGGTGCCACGTGGTGATGAGACCCCCATGGCGGTCGCTTGAGTATCACTCCTGGCGGTTGAGTGTTGTGTTGGCAGTTGCCCCTGGTTTTAAGGGCGCTAAGGTGCTGTAAGAGTTTATGTGTATTAATGTGTGTGTGTACACCCAGTCGTGGTGTGAGTAAATTGGGCCTGAGGGCATGGTACCAGGAGTTCGTCTTTTGGTGCATATAACATTTTCGTGCACCCATTTTAGTGTCTGAATAAATATTGTACAGTATTTGTATGTTGGGTCAATTATTCACAGACAGTATCCACCGTTGTTTCTTTCCTACTGCTTGATACTATAATTACATGTACCCATGGGCCTACCTCTCGTCACGCTACCAAAGGTTGAAGTATTAAAGTAAAAGTTGCTATAAGAGGCGCAGGCCCTTATATGGGTAGAAGAAATACAGCGGTGATACTTTTAGTTTACTAAATCAATATTTATTAACATAACTTTTACTTTTATCCTCTTCGCCACTGATCGGCTCGTTAGCCGCTTGGGCGATCGGTCACGTCTCTGTTACGCACTGTTGGCAAGTACTGGGCATGCACGAGCTCCTGAATGTACCTGAACCCGCTCCAGTGTTGGTCAAATCTTGTCTTGAAAAAAAAGTGAAAGAGCTCACACTCGGTGCCGTCACAACACTCTCTGGTAGATTGTTCCAAGGGTTCACAACTCTCACTCAGAAAAAGTTTGCCCTCACAGTTTTCTGGACTTGCGGCTTCTTCAATCTTCAGCTGTGACCCTTTGTGGGGCGAGCGTCCGCCAGCTCCAAGTAAGGACATTCGACTGAGTAGTGTCCCTTGAGATGCTTATACACCTCAATTAGGTCACCCCTTGCCCGTCTGTAGTATAAGCTAGACAAGTTCAGGCGCTCCAATCACTCAGGGTAGCTGAGGTGCCGAAGTGCAGGCACCAGTCTGGTGGCCCTCCTTTGAACATTTTCAACCAAATGACAGTCCCTAGCATATCTCGGGGACCAGACGGGGTAAACAAGGAGTGAACAAGATGTTAATTAAGTACACTCAGACAAGACTGGAACACTTAGGTCTTATGTTACACATAGCAAAATAGATCTTCATTACTTATTACATCATTAAGCAACTGTTATATTATTCCATTGTCAATACAGATGGTAATATAACACACTTGACAATATCCCAAATTAAGATACTATTTAACACATCAGGTTATTCCGGAATGAACAACATGGCACTCTAACTAGGACTCAGTTGGTAGTACATATGAAGGATGCACTCACAACACCTAACACACATGATATGGGATAACTATATTTCTGCTAATTATTCCCAATCATGGATACCAATACTACTCAATATATATATATATATATATATATATATATATATATATATATATATATATATATATATATATATATATATATATATTTATATATACTGTATATATGTAATATTCAGAAATTTCAGAGTAATTTCAAATGCCCCGCCATGAGTGATACTGAGCGTTCAAGGTCATCTGAGGGGAGGGAGCGCTGCCTGCTCGTAGCGAGAGACTGCGGAACTAGGCCTATATGATATTAAATGTAATTCACCGAATTAATAATGATGCGATTCATGAAGTAAGGGACTATTATTGAATTTGAAATTATTATAGATCGTTTGTCAGTCTGAATAATGTTACGGGTGTCCCAAGGAGTTATTAGTTAGGCGGAAAATATGTCACGTAGACCTAAGCTAATGCCTTGGGGAGACGCGACGCTGGCTAGGCCCAGTCCCGACCTTATATATAGGACCCACCAACTGACTTGAGTCAGTTCAGTCCTCTTGTCATACAGTCCACATCCTTTGAGTGTCACTTGTTACTTATACTTAATTTATTTGTGTTGTTCCTGTCGCCACCAATGTGGTATATCTATGTGAGTACCTATTTATGTCTCTGTTTGTGTCCATCAGTATTTGCTTAGTTGTATTCAAGTAATTCAGTGTTGTTTCACGTTAGTTAATTTCAGTGATATATATATATATATATATATATATATATATATATATATATATATATATATATATATATATATATATATATATATATATATATATATATATATATATATATATATATATATATATATATAAATCAACACCTCACCCACCAGGATTTGAACCCACATTACGAGCCCGCATGACAGTTATGATGGGCGTCTCCCCTGCAAACTCGTGGCAATCACCACCTATCATATTCAACGTGCGTTGCCTATGTGAAACTATTCACCGGCGACTTTCTGGGTTTTCCCAACATGACTCATAGCGGCTGCTGCTGGGTATATAAGCTCTGTCTCTCCATTGAGATTGATTCTGACCATTCTTCTTGAACTAGCAACACCTCCTCCTCCGCCGCTGCCTTAGCTCCTCCTCGCCTGCCTGGCGGTCCTCGCTCCCGCCAGCGAGCATGGCGACCCACCAGCTGTCCTTCTCTGAGCTTCCTCACCAACCAACTCTCATTCTGCCCATCTTCCTGAACAAGCAACACCTCCTCCAGCAAGCTCCACGCTGGCTTTTCCAGCACCAGACTGTCTATCATATAACCCTTATATTATACAAGAAAACCACCTTAGAGTTTCCTTCCATCCTGAGTGCTAGACAACATTAATATCTCGATACCCCTACAATGGTGACCCTGGAGATTAGCACTCACACAGGATGGAGGAGACACTGATCACGCTCCCAGTCTTCAAGCAGACACCGGCTCCTCTTCCTGCCCCAAGCACCACATCCTACGACCCCCAGCACACCCGTCCTGCCTCAGACGCTGACCCAGGCCCACACACCCCAGCAGGTGCATCTGACGACCCAGTACCTGCCGTGAGGGAAGCACACAACATCCATCGCCTCTACACCCCCTCTTTTCTCCCTCAGGTACTCCCTGCTAATGTCCTGCACCCTGCTGCTGTCGTGGACCCAGCTGCTGTCACGAGCCCTAATCCGCTTCTGCTGACGCAGCCCCTGCTCCTGACCCAGGCCCCCACACACACCCCAGCAGGCGCATCTGACGACCCTGCACCTGTCGTGAGGGAAGCACACCATTCATCGCCTCCACACACCCTTTTTCTCCCTTCTCCCACAGATAGTGTGTATCTAGACAGTTGTATTTCAGCGATCGGCTCATCACGCCATCGCCGTTGTCTCACATGAGGCATGCACCGCCCGGTCTGCCTCACATGTGCTAAGCAACTCTACAGACAACAAGTCTCCTACACCGCATGGAGGGAAGGGGGAGTATTGTAGTGGACGTCTCCCCTACAACTGCGTGGCAATCACCACCTATCACATTCCAAGTGGGTTGCCTAGCAACGGAACTAGTCACCGGCGACTTCTCGGGTTTTCCCAACATGACTCATGGCGGCTGCTGCGGGGTATATAAGCTCTGTCTCTCCATTGAGATTCATTCTGACCAATCTTCTTGAACAAGCAACACCTCCTCTGCCGCTGCCTGGCGACCCTCGCCTCTCCTCCGCCTGCCTGGCGGTCCTCGCTCCCGCCAGCGAGCATGTCCTTCTCTGAGATTCCTCACCAACCAACTCTCATTCTGCCCATTTTCCTGAACAAGCAACATCTCCTCCAGCAAGCTCCACGCTGGCACCTCCAGCACCAGACTGTCTATCATATAACTTTATATTATACAAGAAAACCACATTGAAAGCTTCCTCTTCCATCCTGAGTGCTAGACAACATTAATATCTCGATACTTACACAGTCATGGGCTCGTGTCCGAATCCTGGCGGTGAGGTGTTGATTATGTAGAAGTCTGCGTGTTTTATTGGGCTAATGTGATATATATATATATATATATATATA